AGCCTCCTATTCACTTCCCTATCCCTATTTTTGGTTACACTGATTTCATTTGTTAATGGCGGAAATTCCGCCTCATCCACAGGAAGGATGCTAAAACGATTTTCATTGCGGGGGAAGTATGCTTGAAGGGTCTCCTTCCGAGAGTGTTTTTTAACAGCCCTAATATAATTCACTGACTTTTCTTTGGTCCAGACCTCACACACCTGCCTATTCGAAGCCGTGTGATTTAGACTTCCACACAAGATGCACTTTTTTTCACACGTGCTTGAATCGCAATTGTCTTTGTCGCATTGTACGCAACGTTTCCTGGATTTACAGGCAAACTGCGTGTGCCCAAGCCTGCCGCAGTTCAAACACTGCCTCAGTGGGGGGACATAAAAATCAACATAAAGCTTAGTATAGTCTAGCACAATGTGCTTGGGTATTTCTTTGTTTGCGAAGCCTATTTTGACTGTAGTGGTCGGAATTAACTCATTATTTTCAGCTTTACGCATAAAACGCCTGACCGACATTATCGGTATGCTAGCAGTCGCATTATTTTTAATGTCGTAAGTCTGAATAAGAGATGGGGATACCCCTAACAACGCCATAGGATTCCAAAGCAGTTCGCGGTACGAACGCTCTCAATTCCATTGCCTTAAATTTAGTATTAAGGAGAAAATTATTTGCAGCCGCACAGCTCTTAAAGGTTATTTTGTATAGGCTTTTTCCTAAAGCCTCGATTAAGTCCATATCTCTGATTTTAAGATGTTTGATCTTATCAAACAAGGTAAGGCCATTGGTGATTTTTTCTTTGGGAATATCTTGGCACAAAGCCGCGTCCACTAAAGTAAAGATTGGTCCAGCAAAATTTGAGGGATACATAACCTCATTGTCTGTTAACTTCTGAACATTGTTGTCAGTCACTGTACTTGTAGCAGCGTCATTTGCGACCGCAGCTAGCGGTTCTTCAGTTTCCGTTACCTTGCGGTTATCGGGTACAGTATCGTCTTCCATCGTCATACCTTCACTGTCACTACCGTTGTCCATGTCTATTTCAAGGTTATTACCTGCACTAACCGTATTTAGAGACCCGTGCCTCAATTTAATTAGCTCAGGGGTTTTGAGCATTATTGCTAAATTTTCTTCCACATATTTTCTTAACCTTTTTCCCTTGGCCTTATTGGCACTCGAGATGGCTTCAAAGTCATCCGCCGATGACGCCACCGACCCAGCAGTCGGCGACGCCATAGCGGCTCTCGGTTTTGCTGCCATACGCGGCAGTCTTATGCACTAGGAGCACACTTATACACCACCAAAAGAAAATATTTTCACACTTCACAACTAGAATAAGGCAAAATTACTCACCCAGCAATTTATCCTTTCCAGCAGTGGTTTAAAAGATCCAAATTATAGATGAAGTTAAGCGATAACCCAGAAGCGAGTGTAGCTGTACTTATAGAATGTTCCAAATAACTGTTTAATATGCACTTGGCTTTGCTTTTTCACATCTTCAGCTACAGCTTTCATCTTATTGGCCTCAGCAATGCTCGTTTCGCATGTTTTTTGAACTCTTTGCATTGCGTCTATACGCTCACCGAATTTCCTCTCTATAGCTTCTAAAAGGAGCTTCAGCTCTTTAACCTGCATTTTTTGGGACTCTTGAAAGTCGTCTTTACACACTTTTATGTTTTTACTATTATTCTCTATAGAGATATTCATGTTTCGCAACACCTCGTCAATATTATGCATATATGTGAGACAACCATCACACATAAAGCGCACATATGCATTGTCCGCAAGTACTTTTTTACTGTACTCATCGAGATCAGAGCATTTCTTTGCCCAGTGAAACACTTTGCCGCATATACCTTCACAGCGGATTCCACTCTCACCGCGTATTAGGCCTTTGGACTTATGGCAGTCACCCATTTTCTTGGCTGACACTTCACTGCACTTTTCAGTGTTTTTTATTTATTTGCCGACGTCCCAAGCTTTGTCGCACGGTGTTATCGACACTTGTGTTTATTATGGTTCACAATTCGTTATTTGTGTTTGTATGTATGTGTTATGTTTACTAGATGTGAAGCACGAAGCCGCTGCTGCGCGCCTTTTCGCCTATCACTATTCTCTTCACTTTCACCGTTTTCTTCCTAGTCAAAGTATACTTTAATTTAATTTGATTTGCTTAAACTAGTGTCACTATCACTTTGCTATTTAGCGAAATTCACTTTCCGATTATATATATGAATCGCTATTTGCATTTGAAATCGCATTAATCTATTGAAAACCGCTGAATTTAAAAAATTTCGCGGAGCCAACCATAACATGACCTTTCACACCCACGATCACCATCCATCCGATTCGCTCAAAAGGAGATCCTGAATTAAATTGCCTCATCTGCCCACGGCTCCTAGACTTTGGTCCCTTAGCTTCCATACATTCCTTGCAATTTCCAATCCATTCAGCCACAGATTGACGACAACCAACCCAGTAGAATCGCTGCTTGATCTTCTCTAACGTTCTGGTAATGCCTATGTGCCCTCCACTTGGTCCATTATGCAAATCATTCAGAACGTCTGGTATTCATACTTTTGGAACAACAATTAAAGCTCGAGAGCATTTCCCGTCTTCGCTTTCCCATATTCGATGAAGGCAGCCAGATATCATTCTTAAACTGTTCCACTGGGCCCAATATGATTTGGCAATGCAACTCTCTGATAACATATGTTCTTTTGTCGGCCGATTATTCACGTCCATGTTATTTATTAACAAAGCCAAGTCCGGGTCTTCTTGCTGAGATTTACGTAAATTCGGTGCATCTCATTTTTTAGATGGTGTAATGTTCATTAATCGTACATCAACAACTTCTTCCTTAACTTCAGCTTTCGAACAATGTTTACATTCTATGTTACATGGCCGACGAGACATTGCATCTGCATTACCATGTGAGCTACCTGCGCGATGTTCTATTGAAAAATCGTAGGTTTGTAATCTTTCAAGCCATCTAGCGAATTGTCTTTCAGGATTCTTAAACTGGAGTAGCCATTTTAGTGTTGCATGGTCGGTCCGTACATGGAAACGCTGTCCATAAAGATACTTGTGGAAATGCTTAATGCATTCCACTAAAGCAAGTAATTCTCTTCGTGTCACACAGTAATTTCTCTCGGGTTTTCCTATTGTTCTGCTGTAATATGTAATAACTCTTTCTTGTCCATTTATCACTTGCGACAGAACCCCTCCGATGCCATAACCACTTGCATCAGCATCTAATAAAAACGTTGCTCCTGGAATGGGGTACGCCAACATTGGTGCAGTACACAATAGTTCCTTCAGAGCCTGAAAGGCTACTTCCTGCTCTTCTTCCCACTTGAAGTGTCGATTTTTATACCCGAGCGCACTTGTGCACAAGGGTATTATAACTTTGTTCACATAACGGTTGTTTGTAACAGGCAAAACGAATCGAGATAGATATAGACAAATGTATACATAAATGATCAGAATGAAAAGAGAAATCGATTAAGCGGTGACTGTCTGTCCGTCCGTCTGTCCGTCCGTCTGTGCACACGATAACTTGAGTAAAAATTAAGATATCTTAACGAAACTTGGTACGTGTACTTCTTTCGGGCGTAGGACGGATGGTATTGAAAATGGGCAAAATCGGACAATAACCACGCCTACCTCCCATATAACGGTAATTTTCAGAAATACAAAAACTGCGATATTTTAGTAACTACTGAAGATAATTCACTCAAAATTGATATTTATAATAAATTTTAGACGAAAAATAAGAATATTAACATTTTTTTGAAAATGGGCGTAGCCACGCCCACTTATGGTTACATGTGTATATCTTGGTAACCGCTGCATCAATTTATTCCAAACTTGGCACAGTTGTTGGCCCTGGTACAGCATACCAAATGGCCGAAAATTTTTAAAATCGGACAATAACCACGCCCACATCCCATATAACGGTAATTTCGAGAAATACGAAATCCTCGATAAATCAGTAAATATTAGAGCTAATTTATTCAAAATGATGGTTGCAACAATTCTTGGCCAGGAAATACGTTTATGAAAAAATTTTGGAAAATGGGCGTGGCACCGCCCACTTATGATCACGTATATGTATCTCGCTAACCGTTCTAGCAATTTGTACCAAACTCGGTATGGTTATTGTGCTTGCCACATAAAAGTAAACCATTGAAAATTGTTGAAATCGGACTATAATTACGGCCGCTTTTCATATAACGGTAAATTTCAGAAATGCTTGAAATTTCAATATTTTGAAATTTAAGGACGCTAGTTTACTTAAAATTTATACACGCCGGCTTATCATGTAGCGGTAGCTTTCGGAAAGGTGGAAAACATATATTTAATACTTGCGCCGGGTATTTAATGTTCGGCTCCGCCCGAACTTAGACTTTCTTACTTGTTTTTAGTGAGATCGTGAGGACTACTAGCTACATTGGCAAAGTTTGGAACAAACCGGCGATAATACGTGCATAATCCAAGAAAACTTCGCAGTTGATGCAAATTCGATGGCGGCGGCCATTCCTTCACCACGTTTATTTTGTCATTATCAGTGGATGCCCCTTCTGTCGTTACCTTATGTCCCAAATACTTAACTTCTTTGTTGAATAACGAACACTTCTCTGAATTGAACTTTAAGCCAGCACAAGCTATTCTTTGTAAAACTTCTTCCAAATTTTTCAAATGATCGTCAAAGCTTTTCCCAAGTACGATTATATCATCGAGGTAAACCAAGCAGGTTTTCCAATGGAGCCCTTTTAGCACATGCTCCTTGAGCCTTTCGAAAGTGGCAGTAGCATTACATAATCCAAAAGGCATTACCGAAAATTGCCATAAACCTTCCCCAACGCTGAATGCTGTTTTCATCCGATTCATGAACCTCCACTTGCCAGTAGCCACTTTTAAAATCAAGGGTTGAAAACCATTCCGTTCCAGTTAGTGAATCCAGAGTATCATCGATTCTCGGTAAGGATAACTATCCTTCTTGGTTACATCGTTAAATTTACGATAATCAACGCAGAACCGCATCTTTCCTTCTTCTTGACGAGTACTACCGGTGAGCACCATGGACTAGCTGAAGGTTCGATCACACCGCTCTCACTCATATCATGAATTATTTGGCTAACAACTTCACGTTTGGCTAATGGCAAGCTTCGTGGAGGCTGTCGAATTGGCATTGCATCACCTGTATAAATCCGATGTTTTACGATGTTGGTTCTGCCTGGTTTGGATCCATTCTTATCAAATATACCACAATATTTGCGTAGCAATTGTTTTGCTTTTTCAGCTTCCAGCGGCTCCAACCCTTTTGTCCAATCGTCTATCTCCTTATGCATTTTGCTTACATCAACACGCTGATTTTCAGGAACCGCCTCGCAATTAATTATAGCCTCTACTTCATGGCATTCCGCCAACAGAGCGCCTTTAAAGAGTTTTATCGGGGATTTAAATTCATTAAGGACTCTTACTGGAATACGTCCATCTGGATTCGATTTTGCTAGAGTTTTTGCAATCAACACGTCCGGTGTCGAATTTTCTGCCGCTTCGATTAACCACAACTGGTTTACCCCCCAATCTGCATTAATTTTTGCCCAAATAACTGCTTCAGACATTGGTGGAATTTGTTGACTATCCACCAAAAGTGCTTCTCGAACTCTGTGCGACTCATCGTAACCAGAATTTAGCCTTACTTCCATGTTGTTAATTGTCATTGTCATACTTCTTAAATCGATACTTATGCCATGGTCGGTTAAGAAATCTACTCCAATTATAACTTCATCAGCAATATCCGCCACAATGAAAACATGCGAAACTTTCACATTCCCAATAGTTACATCACAAGTTAACTCACCTATTAATAGTGCTTCTTCACCAGTTGCGGTGCGCAGCTTTGCACCAATAAGTGGCTTAACCTCCTTCTTAACCAACCCCGCCTTAATGATGGAATGTGATGCACCTGTGTCCAATGTCAGCATCCGCTCCTCCCCGTCTATACATCCTCTTACCGTTATATTACTCGATTTCCTACCGATTTGCGAAATTGTGATTGTGGGGTATTCAGTTGTGGGAACCAGCTTGCACCCCCTCCAGCTGGTTCGATTTAGTTTAACGAGATTTGCGCAGTGTTATCATTGCTTGCTCTATTTTGCTGAGGATTTGATGACTGTCCTCCTCCAACAAAACAATTTCGCGCAATGTGTCCTTTATTACCACACTTAAAACAAGTACCTTCGAATTTCCTCTGAGTCCTCGGCGTTGATAAATGCGATTTAAGAGTATTGCAAACCGTTTGCAGCTCGTTTTCTGCGACGTCTACACGATGCGTCTACTCAACAGTGTGGCCGTTTCCTGAGTCAATGCATGTGCAACCGTTTCCGCAAACGTTGATTTCGGCATCATCCCGTATGCCATTCATGAACGATTGAATCTTCATACGTTCGATAAACTCATTGGAAGTATCCTCATTTGCCAAATGAGCTAAGCGTTCAATTTCTGTCGCCAAATCCTGTAACGTTTCGCCTTGTTTCTGCCACCGATTCAGCGATTCCATCTGAAAAATCTGCTTTCGGTGAACACTACCGAATTTCCTTTCGAGTGTATTCATTACTGTCGCAAAATTGCGTTGCCCTTCCACAGGTACTGTGTGCAAAACCTCCGTTGCCGAACGTTTCAACGAAAGTATTAAAGCAGTTGCTTTATCTGCGTCGCCCCAATTGTTGCTTATTGCCGCCGACTCAAACTGCTTCTTAAAAATTGTAAAAGGAATAGTCCCATCATAAGGAGGAGGTTTAAATTTCATCGCACCAGCAACCGTGGTTGTCGCTGCACGAGCATTCTCTCTAATATGATTTTCTAAAGACCCAACTCTTTCTTCGATTGCCTGAAACTTCTCGACGACATTTCCCTCAACAGCTTTAACTTGCTCATCAATTTCTCTAATTTTCTCACCGATCTCTGCTGTATATTTGCTAAAGGAAGCCAAAAGTTGCGAAGAATTCTCAGCCAATTTCAAACTCAAACTGTCAGCCATTCGGGTTTCTAAGCTTATAACCATTTCCTTCGAGGTCTCAGCCATTTGCTTGGTGTTCTCAGCCAACATCTAAGCCTTCGGCTTCTACAGCTTTCCTTAACCGTGCTTGCAGCTCAAGTTTATTCCCATTCGTTGGTAGACCACGCAATTCCAATTCAGCCTTGAGTTGTTGGATTCTCAAATCGTCAAATCTTACCATATTAAAACTTGTATTCGTTTAGCAATCTCACTCCTGACACCAATTGTTACGTATTTCCTTAGGATCGATCTCTAAATTGCTAATCGAATAAAAAGTAACCAAGATTTGTAACACAGGAAAATTGCTTCTTTATTCAACGAATGATTTTCAAATTCTGGAAAATTTTCATAAAGATATGACAGATTTCTCAAAGCTAAGATTCTTACACATTTTCGTCACAATATTTTGCTACTTGAAACTTGCACATTGTTATACTAAAATTGAATGGGCCATAAAACTGTGTACTCAAAAAAATTCTAACACTGCTGAGAAAAAAGTTTGAAATTTTGAAATTTGTTGATTTTTTTTGTAGTTTTCTACAAAGTTTTAAACTTGGGTTTATATGTATTTTGTTAGAGAATCAACTGTAGTTTAATTGAAAATTCCTAAAAATAAATAAATAAACATAAGTGGCGAACAATATCACTTTGAGATGGGGGCCATTGTATTGGCCAATACTGAAATATGTATATGGCTTATTTATCAAAATCTTTGGTTTGTTTATACATTTGTATACAACGGTGACCATACGCTCTGTATTTTTCAGGACCGTACTGTTATTCAAAGGTCTGTCTTGCGTAGTTTTCCAAAACAGAACCTCAAACCTCAAAATGTACTGATTTTTTTCCAAGTGTCCTGCCTTTGTCCCGCATTTTACTCGATATTTTCAAATAAACGACGGCAGTCCTTTTTTATCGACATATAAGCAGTGTCGATAACTGATTGATAACTACAGGGGTTGATTTTGAAGCTTCAACAAGGCAATGTGTTCTAAATTTGGTGCGGTCAATGGACGGCAAGCAAATCGAGACCAGGATCACAAGTATCAGGAGCTCTGATCTACAAACTTTACACTAATCACGTTACCTATATTTTTCAAGCATATTTTGGTTCGATGAACACGAAAACGGTATACAATTTTCTTTTCAAAGACATTTCGAGATTTTTTATCGAAAAACGTGTTTTTTGGTACTTTTCGGAGTTATTCGTCAATATCTCGTGAAAAGATCCCCCAATTAACGTAAGCGGTCTACAGTTCGAAAGGTCTTGAAGTGCCTCTTACAAAAATATATAACTTGTGGCGTCGGCAAGAAAAATACCATTAAAAATCAATTCGAGTTTTTAGCCACTTAAAACTTGTACTGGTTTTACTAGAATTACCTAACCGATGCACCTGCAAACCCCGAATTTTTCTAAAAATAATAAAATAAAATAAATTTTTCTAAATTCTGTATAAAGTTTGACTTACATATGTGCTTTTGGTTAAAGAAGGAACCATATTTTTATAAAAAAATTACAAAAAATGTTTGACTTGAAAAACATTGAAAATATTTAACAAAAATCACCATGCACTTACTTTTAATAACCAGTGTATATTTTCTTGTTATTTTTATACTACGTAAATTTACATATGTATGGATGGAGGTATACATATATATATATGTTTTAATTGTCCCGCATTTTCAATTCATATTTATGGTCACCGTATTTATACCTTAAAATAAAACATAGGTATGTAGATATTTATTATGATACAAAAAAAGTACATAAAACAAGATTTGCTGTTTGGCTGATAAATAGATTTGCTGTTGTTGTTGTAGCAGCATACAAGTTCCCCAAAGAGTTTTTGGGGAGTGTTGCTGGAGTGACAGTCCTTGGCCAAATATAAATCTGGGTCGTTCCGGTTACGTAGACCCGACTGTCATGGGCACGTGATAGATTTGCTGCTTGCATTCTTTTAACCTTCCCTCGAAAGATTTATACCCTCTTGAGGTTCACAGATAAAGGCTATCAAGACCGTATCTTGTTGTTGTTGTAACTGTTAGTTAGCCCTGCCTAGGCTTAGGAAACGTGCTGTTTCGATAGTGTCGGACCAGAGGGAGAGGGGTGTTAGTTGAGTTGGGTTGAGTGGATATATGAAGAGTGGGTTGATGTAAGGAGGGGAACCTTCGCATGCCGGACAAGCATACATTGCGTCTGTCGGGGTCTACAATATACAGTAGTGGTCATATCTATAGCATCCCCATTTCAGTGATATTGTTACCACTCATGTTTAATTATTTATTTTTGAGAATTTTCAATTAAAATACAGTTCATTCTCTAACAAAACTCATATGGGTGTATTATAATATGTATTTCATTTATTTTATAAATTTGAGTAAAACTTTTCAAACATGTGGCAACCCTTCTCAAAAATGTTTTCGCCAGTAAACTTTGCTAAACCTCTTCAGTTTGACACCGATATTGCAATGTTCCATTTATCTTATCAATTAAATTAATTTAAATATTTCAAACAGGTGACAACATTCCACAAAAAAAGTTTTCTGCTGTAAGTCTTCCTAAACAAACTTTTAACAGCCATATTGAAGTATTTACTTTTTCTTATCAATTTACTTAAACTGCAATTTTCAAACAGGTGGCATCTCTAAATTTATTTCTTTCTATATTTTTTTAGTTAGACCTCCAGAAATACATCGGTGGAATCTGCATACAATTCCATGCATTAGTTTCAGAGTTATGCCCGTACATACAGCCAGATAACAAAAATTCTAAAAATTGTGGATTTGGCTTCTGTTGCTCTAGAAATTGCAGTAGACTAAACTCCTATGTGCATACATATGTACGTACATACATACATACATAGGGGTTTAATCTACTAAAATATCTAGACTGCAATTGAGCTAGAGTTACGCCGGTTGTTGTTGTAGCGGCTTGCTTAGCCCTAATTAGATCAGTTATTCCATCAATCGTAGTCGTCCAGGTCAACTAACGATAGACCCAGGAAGTGCGCAACTTCGACTGAGTTTGTCCATAGGAACAAGGGCGTTAGCTGTGTTGGGTTTAGCGGGAATGTGAAGAGGAGCCGTGATTCATGTGGTGATTCTCCGGATGCCCGGCACTCGTTGGGTACATCTGCTTTGACTCTGCTCAGGTACGACTTGAGCCTGCTGTAGTATCCAGAACTAAGTTGGGCTATTTTGGTGCGATTCTCCTGAGGCAAATAAAACTGTACCCAATTGCGGTTGTATGTGCCGCAGGAGCACGTAACTTCGAGAATTTATTGGGTTAGCCACCGTCGGAATTGGTTCGCCATCGACGTGGATTTCCAGATGTAGTCTGACCTTCTTCTTCCACGTAATAAAAATGATTGTCGAGGATTTTGTAGGGGTTAGGGTCCTTGCAGTAAAGAATCGGGAAAGTTTCGTTTACTTTCGAGCGCAAGTCATCAGTTCCATCCCCGGACGCCATTATCGAACAGTTGTCAGCATAAGAGGCGATTGAAATTTCTTTCGGCGACCATGCTTCGTCGGACCCGGAGCGATGCGCGAGATATCTTAGTCAAACGTCGAGTGACCAGAAGGCTGCACAAACTGCCAACAACTTGTGCGCCCCTTGCTTTCAAAGCCATGGGTCCCGACGGACTATGCATGTTGATGCTGAAAATTTTTGGCCTTGCGGGAGTAGCGTACCTAACGGAGGTCCTCAATATGTCAATGGTCACTCATCATCCCAGACATCTGGAAGATGGGGAGAGTGGTCCCACTGCTCCAACCGGTGAAACCATCACACAAAGGAGAAGCTTATCGCCCGATAACTCTCCTTTCTCCGGTAGCGAAGACACCAGAGGCCTTGCTGCTCCCGTATTTCACGAACCAGCTGACCCCAGCGAAGCATCAGCATGGTTTCCGTAAAGTGCACAGTACAACAACAGCACTTAACCCATAAGCACTCAGATAACACGTGGCCTTAACCGCAACCGTCCCTGTGAGAGAACTATTCTAGTACTGTTGGACCTGTCAAAGGCGTTTGACACCGTCAGCCACTCCACGCTACTAGAAGGCATAGAGGCCTCCTCTCTCCCGCAGAAGCTCAAACGGTGGCTCGCGAATTATCTGAGTGGTCGACACTCGTCGGTAATGTTTAGAGACAAATCCAGCAAACTCAGAAAAATAAAACAGGGGGTTCCACAGGGTGGTGTCCTTTCCCCACAACTGTTCAACTTTTACATTTCAAATCTCCCTCAACCACCAGAGGGAATTTCAACAAAAATTTGAGCTTTTTAATTAGCTTTCTTATATATTTTAGTATAATATAGTGCAATTTTTAAGTGGCTAAGATTTACCATTGATATTAGGCCATTTTTTTGTTGACAATATAAAAAAATTTTCGAGCATAGTACATACATGATAAAAATATTTATAAGGTACAATCGCTGAGAGCCAGCTTTGGGAATTTTGACGTTTGCTAGCATTTTTGAAAATTTCTCTCGACGTCATTTCATTTGTTTGTTTTTATTTTCTTTCAAACCATGAAATACAGATGCGTGCAACTAAGTAGCAACGAAATTCAAAACGATATTGCTTGCAAATTATGTTTATTTATTTATTTTTAATAATTTTCATTTAAAATATATTTCAGTCTATTTCAGAAACCACAATAACAAAAGTTGCAAAGCTTGCACAAATTGCAAAAAAATTAATCAAACTTCAAAAAATTGTCATAAAAATTTCAAAATTTTTAATTAGAATATTTAGAAAATTTTCGGGTATGCAGTTTTGTAGCCGATTCAATTTTAGTATAATAAAGTGCAAGTTTCAAGTCGCTAAAAATTACCGTTGATTTTTTAGAATTTTTTTTCTGGAGGGTGTTGCGCATATAACACATGATCAAAATATTTTTTTTATGTAAATTTAACCTTGAAGTCACTGCACTTTTGCTAAGAACTATCTTGGGTCAAGTGGTGTTGCAAAAAATGAGCCTAGCGCACATGGGCACCTGTGAAAACCCTCTGACTTAACACCACCAACCTCGATCAAGTTGCTGGCAACATACAAGGCAATAGGCCGGCCGGTTTTGAACTACGCAGCGCCAGTGTGGTCGCCGGGGACTAGTAGGACGCAGTGGACGAAGGTACAGACTGCACAGAACACCGCACTCAGGACAGCGACAGGATGCCTCCTGATGTCGCCCGAACACCATCTTCACGGCGAGGCGCAAATGCTCCCCGTAAAGGAGCACAACATAATGCTTTGCAAGCAGTTCCTGATCGGGAGCCACAGAAGTGGCCACCCAAACAGACAACTGCTTGCAGAGGAGCCCTCGCCTAGGCACGTCAGGAGGCATCTATATGAACTGACGGACGAAGTCCAGAGGTTCATCAAGCAACCTCTGGACCCGACAGCTTACCGACTGGCCCTGACCGGCATTCACAGCGAGTCAGTCTCGAGTTATGTAGACTCTAGACCTGTGAATGCCGTTCTAGGCATACCGCCCCCGGACACAGACGAGACGGAGCTTCATCTGCATCGGGAGACACGAACGACACTAGCACAACTTCGCTCCGGCTACTGCAGCAGGTTAAACTCCTACCTGAGTAGATTGAATGAGGATGTGGCAAATGAGTGTCCGGCATGCGGAGAGACCCCACATGACTCGAAACATCTCTTCGCATGCCCGGAAAACCCGACAACCCTAACGGCCTTGTCCCTGTGGACCAACCCCACAGAAGCTGCACGCTTCCTAGGGCTGCCGTTAGTGGAACTTGACGACAACGACTGAGATACCAACCGTCCTGGGCGGGGTTGTTGTAGCCGCTACAACAACAACAACAACAATCAAGTTTTGCGTACACACGGTAATTGCGGGAACTTGAAAGAACTTTATACTGCTTTGCTTGCAGGTAAAAACGGTATTAGCGCAGCCGCTAAAGCAGCATCTCATTTTCCTTCTATAAAACTTTAAGTTCTTCCCACACTTAAATTAATAAATTTTCAAATTATAAATTTTCATTTGTTTAATTTGAATATATTTGATATTTGAATTATTTCGAGAGAGTAAACTCAAAATGCTAGCAAACGTCAAAAAAAACCCAATGGCGGACGAATTGAGCGAGAAATATATCGGAAACTAACGTTACAATTTTGAGACATTGAGTTTTGAGATAATTTTCTGAATCTAAAATTCTGGGAATAGTTCCCATAAGCTAATTTTTAATGATTTATAAAGAATTAATTGAAGTAAGATATATGAAAAATTTACAAATCTACTTTTATTCCATTCTAAGATATTCAGAAAACTGTACGGTAACTCACGTTACAGGAAATTGTGATGTACATATGTATGCTTGCATAACGCATGATAATTTTTTCAATGCTTCATTGAATAAACGCGTTTTCCTTTAAGTACACGTTTATTATCATTTACCCAAATGCATTAAAGGCCAACTAATAAATAAGTAATTTATAGAATATATATTTGTACAATAAATTTTAGAATATTTTTATTTTGGTTTCATTTTAGGTGTACATATGTTGGCTGTAACCGCAATAGAAAAAATCGACAAATCTCCCATACACGAAAGATATTTTCGATTTACAGGGTTTATTGTTGCCCCCGACTTTACGTAATGAACATTTTTGCTAAAGTTTTTACAGAAACAAGTGAAGCGCATTTGCTATATATATATATAGGTTAAACATTAAAACATATATCTTTGATTGGTCTTACACAATCCTTTAAAATTGTTTGTGTTCATTGCGTAAAATATTTTTTCATACATACATTGGAACAAAAACGTATTTTAACATAAAATCTTAAACTTTACGCTGTTTCTTCAGAACACGTAGTGTTGCAAAAAGTATAGAATATGAATAAATTAGATTATCCACGTCGTAATGGAGCCCATAAAGTGCGAATAACAAGTAAGTTAATAACATTTCATTTTATTTCGCCGAAGTTTTTATTTTTAATAATTTGAATTTCAGTATTGTGCGCGCGGAACTTGGCTCGGAAGGATTTGTTTCGTAAGTATTTGGGTTTAGTACTTTTTGTTTTGTAGATTTGATTAGCATCCGGTCGGGTTTGTGAGTGACTAATACCATTCGATGGCAAATATAAATCCCATCAATGACAGTTGAACGCAAACTTGCAACGATGATTTCTGGCCGAATTCCAGAAAATAACTTTTAAAGGAATTAACTTAACGTTATCATCAATGCAAAAGTGCATAGTCAAAAGTTTTTCGGTAATGAATATTCGTTAGTTGGGTGTCAGATTCATTAGCATCTTTAGAACAGTTCTGTAAGCATTTGCTATATAAATAAAAACGCGTTTTGTCCCTCCTTTAAAATTTGTCAAATCGGGCCTTCGCAATGATGTTAACGATATTTCCATACTTATGCGTATCGAAGGTTTCGAAATTATCCATCGTTTAGCTATTCTCTTTCCTCTAGTCATATACCTATTCTTACTAAAATCACTATTTTGTATTACATATGAAAAGTATTTGAAGTTTTTAAATTTAATTATTCTTATAATTTATATGCAGAAAATATTTAATTTCTTCATAATCAAATGTTCGGATTTAAACCAAATTAGTACGGAACCACCCGTGAGATAACACCCTTCCTTAAAAAAAAAGAATTATAGAAATCGGATAACGCGGTCCAAAGCTTTGCGGTAACATACATAAAAAAGCTAAAAATAAAATATTCCGACGAATTGATAACCTTCTCCTAAGTCTTTAGAAATCCCCTGAGACCAAGAATTATTCCTAATGAATTGACTGTCGTTGGCCAGATATAGACCCAATTATTGTGAGAACGCTAATACCAGAGACCATGACGATTATAGGAAATAAAATTAAATGTTGCTGTATAATTATTACCGAACAATGGAAAAGTTGTTTTCGTCTCCTGAGACGAAAATCGTTAGAATAAAAACTTTTCCTAATAATTATCTGGAAGTTAATTTTCTCCCTCACGGGACGATTGTTTTACGATGGAAATTATTTTTGTCTTCTCGTTATAATTACATCGGACTTTTACTTTTTTTGTCTCAAGACGTAAATGATCTACGTCTTCTCTTAATAATTATATGGGACTTTTAAGATAAGACGAAAATGAATTACGCCTTCTCTTAATAATCATGGGACTTTTATTGAAATGCGACTTAATTGAGTTCGGAGATTTAGGGCCGGTTTCTGAAGTAACTGGTAACTTACTTTATATTTCAAGGTTGGATTAAAAATAAAGCTATGTCTAAAGTTAAGCATTTCTATTAACGGTTTTTGACGTATGTATGTTTCTTGGTTGTAAACCAATTTAAAAACGATAATAATATGCTTTACCTTAGAAACAATCATAAATTTTAATGCAACCTTTAAATATAAAGTGAGCTTTAAAGTTACAGGTTACTTGAGACAACGGTCCTTAACGCGTTAAATATTTAACACCACGATTGTTCATGTCATCAAATGTGTATCGTTGGTTCGATTTTCAAAAATTAGGGGTCAATTAAATTGGCTTTGCTTTTGCGTGGTTTTAGTTTTTTGAAAAGGGCTGCCAGATGTTAGAAACTCAAATTCAAATAATCCAGCTCTGGTATATTTGCGCTTAATTTCGTGAAATCGACTGTACATGTACCAATACTATTAAGAGAAAACGTAGGACGTAAATAATTTTCATCTTGAAATAAACGTCCCAAGAGACGAGCAAAATAAGAATCCTATATAATTATTATAAGAACACGTCAATTATTTCCATCGTTATAAACCGCGAGTCGAAAAAATATATTTCTCGTAAATAATTGTTATACGAAGACAAAAGAAATTCTCTTAAAACAAGGCGACGTTTTTAATCCCAAATTTTAGGATAATAATTATTTTGGGTCTCTGGTTAGAACTTGAAAAAATCTCCCCTGAAACAAAATTGTCTCCCTTTAAAAAGATTTTGTATTGGCTTACGTCGTGCACACTGTCTCGTGTTTTTACAACAAAAAGAGTACAATCTTGCTTTCTTTGGACCAGAAGCTGTATCGCCAGATTTTAAAGGGAACTCTAGATTTGTGGAAGGTGACACATTTTCAAGAGACCTCTCGTAGGCTTCTGCCATACAAATTATTTTCTCTTAACTTCCTTGTACACTAGCATCTGTTCTGTAGCGGAAAGACCTGTTTTGCACTTTCGTACCCAGCGCGTCACGCTCCTTGAAGTCATAGCTTACATTCACTGACGTGGCTGACTGCTATTTCACAGTTTGCTTAGTAGAACAATTACATAAAAGTACCGTTAGTTATTTTCAAAAATTGCAATGTAATTTTTTTAAAACACTTCAAGTAACGGTACTTAACAGCCAAGAGAACAAATTGGGAGATATGGAGCGTGTTTCACACAGAGCTGGGTAATTTGTTGATTACGATTACATTTTAATTACAATTGCTTAATTGTAATCCTTAAATTATATACGCTTACGATTACTTTAATTGTAATCATAAATGTTACCATTGTAATTATAATAAGAAAAATAATAAAATTTTTTAATAATCTTGAAGACGTGACAACGCTTGGGCCTCAAGAGCCGCTGAAATTCTCAAAAAACGTTGACATCCTAAATGATGTATACTTCGAACATACTTACCTGAACCTCTATCTCCATCTGGCATCACTAGGGACCTATTGGTCTATGTGGGGCGGTCAGCCAGCCAGAATAACATAACCTAACCTTATAATAATTGTAATCTTAAAAATTTAAGTATTAAGGTTACTGTAATCGTAATCATCAAATACATGATTAGTACGATTACGATTACAGTAGTCGTAATCGTTTAATTTTAAGGATTACAATTAAAGTATTCGCAATCACGCATGTTATAATCACAATTACAGTAATCGTAATGCTGAACATTTTCGGAATTGAGACCAGTTAAATCCTGTTGATGGCATACTGGAGCACGTATAGTATGTGAGGGTGACATCTCACAGAAATGGCTAGTGGGCTAATGCTGCAATCGCCTCCGTCTCGTTAAAACCCTGGCAGGTCTTCAAGTACGTTCAATACATGTAACCATTTAGTTGGCCGCACAGGTCCAGTTGAGATTTACTTCTGGTTTTGTGGTGTCTTGGCTATGAACACAATATCCCATAAGGACTTGTGACAACCCTCGCGATGGCCTGCTCCTTTGAGAGAAGGGAACTTCGGGACACTCAAAGCGACTGTGCTACGTGTGGAGATAGAGGCTTGAAGCGGAGACCCAAATAGAATTGAAATGAACAAACAAACAAGAAAGACAAATGAAACAGATGTAGATGTTCTCGAGGAAGAATGCAGCGCATTCAGAAAGCGCAGTAGAGTTGTGCGCTCCCCGCCACAAACTCCTCTGCAGGCAAAAGCCGGCACCGCGAGCACGGAGAAAGCTGTCGACGTGGCGCAGAAGGCTATACCTTTGCAAACGACAACTCCCGGCAGCCGGGATGGTCGTCATCAAACACCAGCTGCTGCAAACAGGGACAAGCATGCACCGGCAGGCTTGGGAACTTGCGAAGGCACTGAATATGAGCAATTGGCCCAGATTCGGCCCGTCTTGAAGAAGATGCAGAGTGCTGTCTCCAAACAGAAAAATGTGTCCATGGACATAAAAACTTGTGTGGCCCAAATCGAGGAGAGCTTAAATATACTAAGCTACCTCCGAGAGCAACGCCGGAAAAGATCTATCCTTTCCGAGCGGCGGAAAACTGGACCTGGTTCGCAAAAGAGAGCTCGAACTCGATCCAACTCCCCTACAGGCAAAAAAAGAAGAGGATGAGAAAAAATAGTCTCGCCAAACTATTCATTAAGCCAGCTGAAGGCAAAACCTATGCAGAGGGGCTGGGAACGATACGTGGTAAGCTCCAACCTGAGAAGACGGAGACCGTAGTTCGATCTGTTCGGAAAACCCGCGAAGGCGGCGTGCTTATCGAAATGGAGCGCTGTGGCGACCACTCAGCATTTAAGGAAAATGTGTGCATTGCCATTGGCCAGCTTGGAGACGCCCGTATTCTCACTAGACGTTTACGTCTCGAAGTTCTGGGCATGGACTGCCTAACCACGGTCCCAGAAGTGGAGAACGCTATACGCTGGGAACTAGGAGACAAGATGAATGGCCAACTTCGCGCGTCTCTCCTCGCTGTAAACTCGTGGGAACAAAGAATGGTCCTGGTGGAAATCGAGTGCGCGCGGATGTCCAAAGGTGTTTCCGTTGCATGGGATATGGCCACAAAAATGCGGCATGCAAAGGCCCAGACAGAAGCAGTTCATGCTGGAAATGTGGTCAGCAGGGCCACATAGACTCTGCATGTAAAGAAAGCTCAAGCTTCTACCTGTGCTCGGCAGGAGATGGACAGAACAATGTCAATCACCTGCCTGGGTCGGGAGCGCGCAATGCCTTCAGGGATGCCCTTGACGAGGCTAAGACAAAGCTTGGGGGAATATGATTAAATTTATACAAGGCAATATGAACAGGAGTAGGGTAGCTGATGACCCGCTGTACCAATTGGTTCTTGAACAAAGAGCAGACGTTGTCATCATCAGTGAACCCTATAGAACAAAGGAAACCTGGTAAGTTGTCCAATCTGGCTCGGCCGCGGTATGGATTGCTAACCTCAACCATCGTGCAGAGAGCAGCGGGACGCTGCTACGTCTGGGTGAAAATGGCGCAAATCATTCTGGTGAGCTGCTACCTGTCTCCTTGTCTTCAGGGAAAAGCTCGAACACCTTGATGACGAATTGCGTGATATAACCGGCTACATAATTTTTGCTGGAGATTTCAACGCAAGAGGCGTGGAATAGGGTATGCCCCAAACAAACACCAGGGGAAGACTAATGGCAGTCCGCGTTGGCCTGACCATCCTCAACACTGGAGCGACCCCTACATATCGAAGGCCGGGTTTTGGATACTCTATCCCTGACATAACCCTGGTTTTAGAAAGCCTTCTTCGAAGGGCTGATGGAAGGAGAGTGACCTCCACCTCCAAGGCATTGACACAATG